AAGAAACTGACATATAACATCTCTCAGAATGTATACTTTTAGGAAATTTCTGTAACATATGCCTTAAGTTATAATTCAAATATGTTCACTAAATGTATAACATGTATAAAGAGGCACCTCACATAGGGCCAGGCCAGGCTTTCTTAAATGTGCTTATAATTAGATATATTTGGTTGCATGACAATACAAACTCATAATGATCACAACAGCCATCCATTCAGGAACACCCACTGGAGGCCCATCACAATATGTTTTATACTTTGTACACTTTAGCTGTTTTATGAATTAGATTCAGAGATCCACCTAAAGAACAAATCGAAGTTTAGAGATGCCACATTTACATAACAATGTCAGAGTTCAAATCCAAGACAGCTTAACTCCAAAGTCACTTTGGTCCCTTCCCACTATACTACCTTGAATCATCCTGGTGCCACATACCATCTTTACATGAGGTTCTGGTTGCTGAGAGTGGGAGAGAAACTTAATATAACAATCAACAGCAATATCTTGTGTCATGTTCACATTGAGGAAAGTCCTATGCACTCTATGGGAAGCCCCAGACTTAAGGAAAGTATAAGGTAATGGAGCAGGGGCCACATGCAAAATAAGCCAGTTTAAAAAACAATAGGGAACAAATTCCATTAATAAGAGCAGTCACAATAACCCGGAATAAACATAACAAAAACTTGTCAAGTCCTCATGAAAAGACTTATAGGGCTTTAACAGAAAGACTGTATGAAGAATAAATAGACTCTATTGTATATTTTTTCTCTCTAATCTGTTCGTTTTAAAGCAATCTGAGTTACAATCACTGAATCACTGTGATATCAGCACAGACAGACATATAAGTCAACTTTAAAATGCAATGAACAAGGAATATGGAGGCATTTAGTTATGGTAATAGTGGCATTTCAAATTAGCAGGAAGAGAATAGAGTACTTCATAAGTGATATGAAATGAAACAATTCACTGTCCATTTATGACGACACAAATTCCTACCTAACCAGAGTCACAAAAACAAATTCCAAATGGGTTAAAGATTTAAATAGTAAAACAAAGACAAAAGTAATTGAAGAAAAATAAATGTTTTTAAACGAGGATAAGAAAAGAAGCCTTGCCTAGTAGAAAACTAAAGTCCAACATCATAATAAAACAGATTGACATGTTTGACTATGCAAGAAACAAAAACTTCTTCAAAAGAATAGACATCAAAAGAAAAAAGGAAAATCAAATGATAAACTTAAAAGGAAAACATCTGAAATATACATGATGGTCAAAGAAAATAACATACTATTAATTTAAGGAACAAAATTAAAAAATAGGTTTCATAAGAATATGTATTAAACAAAATATATAAAAAGAAGCATAAACATAGATTACTGGCAGGGGTTATTTTATGGGATAATAAACAGATAAGATTTTACTCTCAAATTTTTACAGTGATCACACAAATAAGAAAAAATGTAAAAACATATTTCCATTTTGAGTAAGGCACAGTGGCACACGCCGTGATCCCAGTGGCTCTGGAGGCTGAGGCTGGAGGATCGCTAGTTCAAAACCAGCCTCAGGAAAGGTGAGGCACTAAGTGACTCATTAGACCCTGTCTCTAAATAAAATACAAAATAGGGCAGGGATGTGGCTCCATGGTTGAGTGCCCCTGAATTCAATCCCAGTACCCCACCCCACCCCCCCAAAAATATATATATATACATATATATATATATATATTTCCATTTTGAATGACAATAAGAAAAAAGAACAGTCACAGGAATATTTTGCTACTTTGTAAGAATCATCCTGAATAAGAGGGTGCTTTAAGGTCCGCAGTTGATGAAGTATTTATAAACTCTAGTGATCTAAGAAGTCACATGATTCAAAAATTAGTGACCTTCCTTCAGAGAAGCTGAACTATCCAAAGCAATGCTCTGTTAGTCAGCAAAAGTAATAATAAAGCACAAAAACACACTAAGAAAGAAGAAATCAGCTTCTCCTTCTCAGGAATCCTACTTCCCACCTTTCTTTCGGTTCCATCCTCAAGATTTTGACAAATTATCAAGGGAATGGTGGAAATACCTGTGACATTTTAAATGTCCTCCTTTGTTTTTTTGTTTTTTTTTTTTTTATTCTGTTTTCCCTTTTACACAGAAATAGAGAAAAAAAAAAAGAAAATGGATATGGGAGAGAGACAAACAGAGGAGGAAGAGAAGATGAAGAAAATTCTTAGCTTTTAAAAACAGATTTTTGAAAGTCCCAAGAGAGTATGTGGAAAGAAAAGGTCTGAGCCAGCAGAAGCCAATGTTCATGGCATCAGTTGGGAAGGTCGTCTAGGTTGGTTCAAGGTTCCCTACTATGACTCTCTAGAATTTCCACATGCAGGAGGAAGGCAAAGTCAGAAGGAAGCACTCCATTAGCTACCAAGGTCCCTCTAGGAAGCGAGGGGAGAAGGTTGCAGTGATGAGAAGACTCACAGTAAGCAGGACCCAAGGACTTGCTTCCCTATGAGGTAAGGTCCAAGAATAGCTCCTCATATGACAACCAAGTGACATAGCAGACAGGAGAGGTGGCAGCATAGTATGAGACCACCAGGGCCTCAGAATGGCAGGAGGGAGCAGTGGAAAGTTTTCCTTATCCTGAGAGAGCCACAAAAGTGGCTGAGAGAGCACGTAAGGAGGCCTTGAGGTTCCAAATGGAGGGTGTGATTTGATGACCAGAGACAGAAAACATTAGCAGCAGATGCCACCTTACAAGGATGAAGGTCAGACATCAGAAGATCCTTCTCCCCACAGAGATGCCACCCTGGAGAAAGTAGGGAAGGAGAAAATCCAGAATCAACCTTGGGAAGCTGGTATTGGCTAGAGGAAGTCACAGGTATCAAATAGAGTATGGCAGGCAGGAAGGTAGGAAAGTGAAAAAGATGGAACAATATGCAATTGGAGGAGAGGATTAAAGGTGTGGAATGACCACTGTGCTGAAAGCTAAGCAGGGAGAAGAGAAAGAGCTTAAAAGTAAGGAAAATTTGTATTATAAATTAAATTTCATATTACTGTGGTCCTGCATATGTGGGTTCTGCCAAGTAAACCCAATACACATGCTTCACAGGATTGTTTTCATAATATAAGGTGACACCAAAGTAGTGAAGATCCCATGTATATCTCTCCAACTATCAGATGCTTTTGTTATTAACTACAGCTCGTGGTTTTTTTGTCCAATAGCTTTCAATTCTACTATTCACTAAAAAGAAGGTCACTGCAATGTGGCCAAGTTTATTCAAATTATTTTAATATAGTATACCAAAGCATTACCTCATACTTCATTTTCCAATATGACCAGTGTTTTTATTGGGTCACCTTACCTATAACAGACAATACCCCTAAACTGATGAGATTCAAAATTTCCTTTATAGAGGAGGACACATGATTCAACAGGACCTACCATTCAGACCAGTTTTGTAGCTGTCTTGTCAAGTCCACTTCCTGTCAGGCATTCCAGAAGGACACTGTCTTTCCTTTAAGGTTATATTACTAGGATCAAGAAAGTAATTCTCATTAATGTACCCATCACAATCAGGAATGCAATAGTGTTTGTACAGTTCACTTAAACTTGACAACTGTTCCCATTTTATAGATTAGGACACTGGATCTCAGAAAGGTTAAGTCACAGTAAAGGCACAGAGTAAATGGCAATTCATACACTTGAATCCAAGTTCATCTTATTTGGAAGGCTATGCTCTTTCTACTCTACCACAATATCTTGCAGATGAAATCATGTTATCTTAAGCTGATAACTTGAAAGTTTATAACTTGTCAAGGCACCCAAGGTATAGTGTAACAAAGGTCATTCTACCACTGCTAGGACCGCCATCTCCTACCAACTCTCCCATACACCTTTTCTCTGCCTCCATCATGACTTATACCCATTCCCAAAACCCACCAGCCTTCCTTCGAGCCTTTACAAAAGGCTCTGCTTAGATTTCCTCTTTCCTCCCCACCTAGAGAAAACCCACTCATCCACTACGTTGGGCAGTGACTCTGCTGCTCTCTCAAAGAATGTTAGCAGCCTCCACCTCAGTCCTGCAATACTGTGTTTCTATCACAGAACACACATATGGCTGGAGAGTGGAATTTGTCTGCATGTTCCTCTAACGATTACTAGAATATAAACTCCTCGAAGTCAGGGTCTTCATCTTTGCATACTCGGGAACCTATGTAGTCTATGTCAGTGCAGTACAGGAGTTCAACCAATGTTTCTTGAATTAATGAATGAATTTTATTTTAAACCATGGTCTAAGCCAGGTGTGGTGGCACACGCCTGTAATCTCAGCTACTTGGGAGCTGAGGAAGGAGGATCGCAAGTTCAAAGCCAGCCTCAGCAATTTAGCAAGGCTCTAAGCAACTAGCAAAACCTTGTTTCAAAATAAAAACTAAAAAGGGCAAGGGATGTGGCTCAGTGGTTAAGCGCCTCTGGGTTCAATCCCCAGTACCGAAAACAAACAAAAAACATGGTTTACTTTTCCGTATCTTAGACTGCAAATTAATCAAAAGTAAGGCTTTTGAAGTAAAATTAATTGTTTGGTTGTCAGATTTTTTGTTCTTATTTTGATTCTAGAAGGGATTGACCCCAGGGGCTCTTTACTACTGAACACATCCCAGGTCTTATTTATTTTGTGAGACAGAGTCTCACTAAATTACCGAGGCTGACCTCGAACTTGGAATAGTCCTGCCTCTGCCTCCCTAGTCGCTGGGACTACAGGCGCAGGCACCCAATAAGTGATTTTAAAGACCACCACGAAGGCTTCGCCCACAACACAACAGGTTTTTCCAGAAACCTGGAAAAGGTCTCGCACCCGCCTCAGCTCAGCCCACAGATTGTCCAGCCTCCCTCCCTGCCAATCAATCACCCCATGCGCCTGCGCAGGCACCGCCTCCTCAGGGAGCCCCGCCCCAAAGCCTTAGCGGGCAGTTACCACCGGCTGGATCTTATCCTTCACTGGCCCTCCCATTATGACGATTACCTACAGCTGCATTGCTAATGGCCGAGCCGTCCTAGCGGAGCTGGCCTTGACTGGAGGCTCCTATCAGGTACCTGCAGGTCCGCGCTTCCGCGGGGTTCGCTCCTGGAGGCTAACGGCTGTGGAGCCCTTTCCTCAGGACGCGGCGCCGCGGGAGGGCCCAGAACTCTGGGGGCGCAAGAGGCTGGGACTCCCGGGCGGGAGCTGTAAGTGCGCCCCGCAGAGGTTGTGGTTGTCACTGCATGTGCCGCGTTTGGCACCATTGTACCATTATTAACCATTATTTGTACCATTGTCCGATTAAGTAGACCTTAAAGATTTTCTTTCCCTTGTAGAGAAATGACCTGCAATTAAGCACACATTTAGTGAACATATTGTAGTTGCCAAATTCCGGAGTAAAGAATGTGAGGGATGCATAGATAAAAATGAACATGAGGTTGGCCCTGGAATCCTTATTTAACCTTTATGTCTTAAGAGTGTAAAAGGTATTTCAGTGGAGGTAGGATGTGATTGTTCCTGTAGCACTCAGGATGGCTGTCTGTGTGCTGGCTACAGAGAAGATGATTAGGCTACAGGTTAGGCTGCTTAGCTGGTAAGCCTTATAAGAATTAGTCCTGTCCTGGTATAGAGCAGAGGGATGAGAACACCCTGCAGAGGGAATAGCATGGTGTTTGGGGATCCCCAAGAAACCCAGTGTAGCTAGAGCACAGGTTCCCAATGCATAGGGGCTGGAGATGAGGCCCTGATTGCCCGGTAGTATCAAGTATCAGTTCTTTGTCCCGAGTTCTTTGAATCCATCTTTTTTTTTTTTTTTTTTTTTTTAACCATGTCTTCATCCAGGCTCTGATAACTTCTCACCGAAGCTTGCTGAAAACGCCTCCTAACTAACCTCTCAGAATTCAGAGCCTGGTCCTCCTCAAAACTCACATTGCTGCTCAAGTGATCCTTCCTAAAAGCAAACGTGATGCTTCAAATCATTTGATGCTTCCTTGATTATATTCAGAATAAAGCTGATACTCCTTCATTTGGCAGTCAAAGTCCTCCCTGAATGGAAGAGTTTTTCCATGACTGCCTCCTTCCCTTTTCTGGATGTTCCTGTTCTCTATCCTGAACTTCCTGCTGTTCTCCAATCTCATCAAAGTCTCCTTTCCTCTCTCCTGCTCCCTCTATGGAGAGACCACTTTCCTCCACTTTGAGACAATATAAGCTCTTCTGTGCTTTTGAGATGTTTCTTAATTCCTTCTTGAAGGCTTCTCTAGCCCAGACTAATTGACAATCCTAACTACCAAACTACTTAGGCTGAACGGAATTTTCTCTTATTTACCTACCTCTGCCATTGAACTTCAAGACAGGGACTGTCTTCATCTCTGTCTTCCCAGTATACAATGCTGTGATTCATAGATTCTCAACATGCTTTTTTAAAAAAATTAGAGCATTATAATTATACATAGTATTTGGGTTCATTTTGACAAAAATAATACATGCAAGGAATTTGATTTCAATCCCTATTCTCCTTCTTTTCCTTCCCTCCTTCCTCCCCCTATTCTCCTTCCTCTACTCTATTGATCTTCCTTTCACAACTTTTTTTTTTTTTTTGTACTGGGGATTGAATTCAGGAGCACTCAACCACTGAGCCACATCCCTAGCCCTATTTTGTATTTTCTTTAGAGACAGGGTCTCACCGAGTTGCTTAGCACCTCGCCATTGCTGAGGCTGGCTTTGAACTTATGATTCTCCTGTCTCAGTCTCGCGAGAGACTGAATAATTTTTGATTGGTATTTTCTAAATATACATAAAGGTGAAATTCCCTTTGATACATTTATATAAATGTGTATATATATATAATACGTATTATATATATATAAAACATGATTTTGTTAAACTCATTCCATATTTTGTTCCCTTTCCCCTTCTTTTCCTCCTCCCTCTCATTCTCTTTCTTCTACTCCTCTCATCTTCCCTGTATCTTTATGATATCTTGTATCATCCCTCACTCCTTATTTCCCTCATTTTGCTCTAGCTTTCACATACAAGAGGAAAGATTCAACTCTTGGTTTTCTGGCTTATTTCACTTAGCACGATTTTCTGCATTTCCTTCCATTTACTGGCAAATGCCATTTTCATTCTTCTTTATGGCTGAGAAAAACCTCTGTTGTATATATGTACCACATTTTCTTGATCCATTCATCTAGAGACAGGCATCTGGGCTGATTACACAATTTGGCTATTGTGAATTGTGCTGCTATAAATATTAAAGTTGATGTATTATTATAATATGCTGATTTTAGTTCTTTTGTATAAATACCAAGGAGTGCAATAACTGGGTTATACTGTGGTTCCATCTCTAATTTTTTGAGGAATCTCCACACTGCTTTTCCTATTGGTTGTACTAATTTAGAGTCCCACCAAAAATGTATGAGTATACCTTTCCCCACATCCTTGCCAGCATTTATTACTATTCACGTTCTTAATAATTGCCATTCTGACTGGAGTGAGATGAAATCTTAGTGTACTTTTGGTTTGCATTTCCCTGATTGCTAGAGATGTTGAACATTTTTTCATGTATCTGTTGGCTGTTTGTATTTCTTCTTTTGAGAAATTTCTGTTTAATTCTTTTGCCCATTTATTGATTGGGTTACTGGGTTTTGGCATTGAATATTTTGAGTTCTTTATGTATTCTGGATATTAAACCCCTGTCATAGGAACAGATGGTACAGATTTTTTCCCCCATTTTGTAGCTTTCTCTTCACTCTTTTAATTGTTTCCTTTGCTGTGCAGAAGTTTTTTTAATTTGATGGCATCCCACTTATTGATTCCTGGATTTATTTATTGTACTTTGGGTGTATTCTCAAAGACATTTATTAAGGAGAGAGAGAGGAATTTAAAGACTTTCAGAAGCAGGCAGGAAGGTAAGAATTTAGAAGAGAGCAGGGTTGTCTACAATTGCAGTTGAGGTGTGGAATTACTGCAGTGCAGAAAGCTGACCAGGGAAGAGGAAAGGATGGCAAGGAGCTTTAAGGAACACTTCAGGTTGAGAAGTGGGAGAAAGATGTCATGGCTTCCCTCAATGTCAAGGATTGTCACAAAAACTTTATATTTGGGGGGGGGGGGGTGGGGGATGTAGTTTAATGGTAGGATGCTTGCCTAGCATGCTTATGGGCCTGTGTTCCATTCCCAGAACTGCAAAAAATAAAAAAATATTACTTTTTTGAAAAATATCAATACTTACACTTAATCACAAGATCCAGTCAACTGCAGTTACAGGGTTCTAGAGCTGACCAAGATCCTAAAGATCATCTGCCTGCTCTCTTCATTCTTTCCACAAAGAAACAGGCCAGACAAGTCCCTGAGTCTGCAGCATGTGAATTCCAGAAATACACCTTGAACCCACCTTGTCACATTTTCTACTGCCCCATGTTGTCATTTGTTTTGGTTTTTGCTACAATAGCAGTGTTTATATTCTCCAAATGTAACATTGGGGGAAGATAGAGGACTATTTTCCAATTCTAATAACAGAATAAAAGGAAGTTTACGTATGCCTTTAATGTTCCAAGTTTCTTAGGAAATCGTTTCCTAGAAAATACAGCCTTGATGTTTTAGACAATATCAAGAGTTTTTGAGTTTTATTTTCTACAATAAGCTTTACCCTTTCATAAAAGTTTTAAAATATCATTTTGCAAAAATAGGAGTAGAGCTATCCAAAACTTCTTAGATAATGTTCACATTCCTTTTATGCTTCTAAAGTAAATTAATGAGACTCCAAATAAAAGACTATATATGTAAAGTATTCTGGATAAGTGTAGTAACTTGCACATTTTTTCCCCAATGAATGATCCTTACATGGAACAGGAATAAAAGTTCTTGGCAGTTATTTAGTTTTTAAAAAAGATAAATGACAGTGGTACATGACTGTAATCCCAGCAGCTCGGGAGGCTGAGGCAGGAGGATCGTGAGATCAAAGCCAGCCTCGGCAATGGCAAGGTGTTAAGCAATTCAGTGAGACCCTGTCTCTAAATAAAATACAAAAAGGGGCTGGGGATGTGTCTTATTGGTTGAGTTCCACTGAGTTCAATCCCCAGTACCCCACCCCCCAAAAAAAAGAAAAAGAAAAAAAAAAGATAAATGAGTAGTAAATATAAATTTTTATTTGGAAAAAGATAGAAGGTATTGCTAAGGGTATTCAGAGAATAAGAGCTGAATATATAATCCATTAACCTTTTAATTATACTGGACTAGTATTCACTAAAAAGATGTTTAATCAGCTAGTGCTTTCTATGCTTTCTAGCCTTGAAGCCATATATAACATTTGACTGTAAAAATAAAATTATCTAGGGAAACCTACATTTGCACACTTATATGTGCATATATAAATTATGTGTATATTTATTAAGTTTAGTATTTTCTTCCAAATTCATATGAATATTTTATGACTTCTTGCCTCTTACCATACTTTATGAATAATACCCATTAGTTCTTCTAGGAAAAAGTTTTTCCTTAATTAACTAATCATAACATTTGTAAAATTTAGGAGGAAAATAATGAAAATACAATAATGTTCATAAAGTAAATGCTGACTATTTATTTTTAGGAAGCAGCAGCAAAAGTCCTTAGACTTGTGCTTCTTAGAGGTGAAACAAAGACCATAATTCAAATGGGAAGGTAAGGAGTGTCCTAATGAAGTCCATTTAACAATTACCAACTAATGATTCCAATGATGAATGAAAAAAAAATAATAGTTGCACATACACTTGATTAAATCTGCAGAAAAGGAGAACTACATGTAAAAGTATAAAATATGAATGGGGGGGGGGCTGGGGATGTGGCTCAAGCGGTAGCGCGCTTGCCTGGCGTGCGTGCGGCCCGGGTTCGATCCTCAGCACCACGTACAAACAAAGATGTTGTGTCTGCCAATAACTAAAAAATAAATATAAAAAAAAAATAAAATATGAATGGGAATAATAAACACCAACTTCAAGACACTAGTCACCTCTAGCCAGGTGTGGTGGTGCACACCTATAATACCAGTGACTTGTGATGCTGAGGGAGGAGAATCACAAGTTCCAGGCCAGACTCAGCAACTTAGTGATACCCTGTCTCAAAATAAAAAAGAAAATGGACTGGGGATATAGCTCAGTGGTAAAGTGCCCCTTGGGTTCAATCCCCAGTACCAGAAAGCAAGAGAGAGAGGGAGGGATTGTTACCTCTTTAAAGAGAAGGGAAAAGAATGAAATTGAGGAAGGATTTGAAGGAGATACTAATTGTATCATTTTAACTGAGAAGTGGGCCTAAAAGTGTTCCATTATCTTATTCTCCATCTTTTTGGTATATCCAAAGCATTTCATTAATTAAAAAAAAAAAGGAAACTTCTATTAAAATCACTTTAATAACACCACGAATAGTAGCCACAACTCTTAAGCTTTTCTTGGGATATTACATGTGATGATCTTAAACCAATGATGAAAACACTTGCTAGAAAAGGAACAGGTAGGGGAAAAGAGCTTTTGTTTAGTCCCTTCATATTTTTTTTTAAAGAATAAGCTTTAACCTTTTTTTTTTTTTTTAATAAAAAAATCTGAAAAAAAAAAAAAAAAAACTGGGTGTGATCATACGTGCTTATAGTCTTAGCTAACCAGGAGGCTGAAGCAGGAGGACTTGATTAAACCCGAAGAAAAGGAGAACTTCTACATGTAAAAGTATAAAATCACGAATGGGAATAATAAACAAGAGTAAACAATAATAAACAAGAGTTCCATACCAGCCTGGACAACTTAGAGAAGCCCCATCTAAAAAAAAAGATAAATGAAATGTATAGCTTTTTGAAGTATTATAAGGGATTCTATCCAATAGCAATTGCTACCTAAGCCAAAAAAATAAAACCCTGCCAGCAACCCCCCAAAACTCCCCATCTTGTGCTCTGGTGTCCCATTTATTGCTTCTTCTCTTTCCCCCAAATGGACCGCTATCTGAACTCCTATAATATTTGCTTTCCTGTTTGTTTATTGCCTCGGCACCCAAATATGCATCCTCAGATGAAAGCCCAATCCTACCCATTTTTAATGTCTTTTGAGTTCCTTTGACTCTATACTCTCCCTCTCCACTCCTTTCATTTTGTTACAGTTTACTGTTAAAGAATCTACAAAATTTCCCACATTCTAGGTTTGCTGATTGAGTACCCAAAATGCATTTCACCATATTCCAAGTAACTGATCCAGAGTCTAGAGTCCAATCCCTTTGGCAAGACTATATGAGTTTTTTCTATCAGATGGTGCTTAATTATCTTATTTATATCTCCTTTGGAGATGTTAGCAACCAACCTTACTCATTACTAGGTCGTAGAGCCATTAGTTTATTGGTGTTTGCAAAATGATGATCTAGTTGTGTTTTCACTGAAATAATTAGGTGAAATGATTTTAGAAACAGATACCTTCCTATTGGTTATTTGCTTACCCATACTGTATATTCAAATTTGAGTCTTACTCTGGGGCCTCTTTCCTGAACTCCAGATTTATTTTCCAACTGCCTGTTCCACAAAATTCAGATGTCTAACCCTTCAGTCTTCACATCCTACCTTTCTAGTTCCTCGGGTCTGCAATCTTGTTATCCTTGACTTTTATCGCTTTTACACTCAAATCCATTAGCAAATTCTGTTGCCCTTCCTTTCCAAATAGTAACCAAGCCACCATCATCCCTTGCTTTATATAAATATATTTAAATATATTTGTTATATATAATATATGTTTTCAAACGTTGTATGTTTTGCCTTAAATGTTTTATGCCTATGTATATTAATGTTATTATATACATATTTATATATAAAGATATATATTAAAGATAAAAAATGAAAAATGACTATATATTAATATTTATTTTAATTATATATTTAAAATATAATAAAATATATTTTAAAAAATATATTTTAAATATATATAAAATAAACATTAATATACAAAGTCATTTTTTATTTTGTTTTTATCTTTAATAATTACTCCTTGTAAAAGTTTGATTTAATAGCATTTTATAATTATGCAAACTGTTATATGGCTCCAGAGTCAAGTCTAAATAACAAGGTTCCTTCGAAGAGTCTCATTTTCATTCCTTTCCACACTACTGTCTCTCTGCTGTATATAGGTGACCCTTTTGAATAAGTTTTTGGGAATACATTCTTTTTCTCTTCTGTATTTTTCTATAAGAGCATATTATAAAATTCATACTTCCCTTATTAGGTAGTATCTGAGAATGAGAGTTGATAGTATATTAGACACACTTTTTTCCACCTTGCTTTTTTCAGTTAACCATATATCCTATATGTCAAGTATTCACATTTTAAAAATAATTTTTTAGCTGTCAGAAAACCTTTATTTTATTTATTTATATGTGGTGCTGAGAATTGAACCCAGTGCCTAACACATGCTAGGCAAGCGCTATACCACTCAGCTATAACCCCAGCCCCAGGTATTCACATTTTTTAATATTAAAAATCGTTTCAGGGGACTAGGATTGTGGCTCAGTTGGCAGAGTGCTTGCCTAGCATGTTTGAGGCACTGGGTTTGATCCTCAGCACCACATATAAATAAATAACAAATAAATAAAGGTAGATTTGACAACTAAAAATATATTTTTTAATTATTTTAAAAAATAATTTCATTTAGATGCAGTGGCACATGCTTGTGATCCCAGCAATTTGGGAGGATAAGGCAGGAGAATCGTGAGTTCAAGTCTAGCCTGGGCAACTTAGCAAGACCCTGTCTCAAAATAAAAACTAGCTGAGGATATAACTCAGTGGTAGAACACTTGCCTAGCATGTGCATGGCATTGGGTTTAATCCCCAGTATGGGGGGGAAAAAAGGAACAATAAAAATAAAAATGAAAAGGACTGGTGATGTAGCTCACTGACAAAGTGTCACTGGGTTCAGTCCCCAATACTGGAAAAAAAAAGTACCTAAATGTTACTCACTAGTAACATACTAGGCATAAATTTAAAATATCTCTCCTTTTCACATCTAGTGTCAATCTCTTTCCAATCACATATATAACTTTCATGTAGATAGTAGAATTAGCAACTCTTCCCCAACAGACTCTTCCAAATTTAGGAATAAAAATATTTTCCAGGCGGAGATTACATTTATCAATATCATCATTAAAATATTTTAGCATATTGTATTCATGATATGATATGAGGATTTATGTTGAAATGACATATACTTTAAATTTTGTGCCTCTAGGATTATCCTTTCCACATGTTTCTGAACATGATTTAACATTTGACAAGGTCTGTTGCCTATTAACTATTTGGAGATAGAGTGTTCAAAAGACTAATATCTAAGTGCAATAAATGATGGAGGCACTTTATAAGAGTCATGTAGCCTCCTAATATATGACTCTGAGAAGGTAGAAAGGTCTAGATGTTGGAATGCTCAGGATAAGCACACTTCGGCATAATAGGAGTATAATTCTCCTCTCCCCAACTCATCCTATTCTCCAGAATATCCTTATCTATCATTAAATTCTAATCTATTATATTAGAATTCTAATCTATCATATTAGAAAGCCAAGTGCCAAAATTAAATATGCCTACCTAAAAATACAGGAATAGGAAAAACCAATGAACATAGCATTTTCTATTCTGTAAGAACCTTGATTGTTACAATTTGACTTCTATCAAAACCATTTTATACACACACACACACACACACTTATAATCAGGTTATTAATTTCATCTTCAGTGTAATTTATTAATGCAATTTTAAATACATTTTAAATACACTTTTGGTTTAACATTATTTACTTTAATATTTCAAACTGATGAAAGCTCTTCCAATTATTCTGATTATAAAAATTTAACCTATATTATATAGTTTTTATACCACTAATGACAACTTGAAAATGAAGCTAAATTTTCTATGTGGGTACTTAATTCCTTCAATATTTGTAAATGAATGCATTCTTTCCAAAGCTATATCTACCATACTCTCTTTATCAACGGAATCACTTACTTATGTGCTACAGACAATGCCTTGGATAAGGTGGCACCATCTGCATTTCTTAAGAAAGTAAGTAACTTTTTATACTAACACACGACTTGAAAGTTTTTAAAATTATAAAGTCTATAATTTATACTTTATACTTTATTTAGTAATAGTACACTAACAAAAAGCATATCATTCATATCCTATAATATGCAGAGTCATGGTCATTAATGACCTTCAGAGACCTTATAATCTCTTCCTAATCTTTATACTGCTTCCATACTTCCCCTGACTCTCAAGCGATGTCTGCAAAAAAAACATCTACTCAGATCTATTGGAACCTCATAACCACCATGCCTAATATTTTTTTTTTATTTCTTAAATTAAGAAAGAGCTGTAATCACAATAATTCGGAAGGCTAAGGCGGGAGGATCACAGGTCCAAGGCCAGCCTCAGCAACTTTGTTAGCCCTAAGCAATTTAGTGAAACCTTGTCTCAAAAAAAAAAAAAAAAAAGAGCTGGGATTTATTTCAGTGACAAAGCATCCCTGGGTTCAATTCCCAGTACCAAAAAAGAAAGAAGAAGAGAGAGAGAGAGAGAGAGAGAAAGAAAAAGAGAGAGAAATGGAGGGAGGAAGGGATAGGGAGAGAGAGTGAAAGTGAAAGAGAAATAATTAAAATGATATTTAATATACTTAATATTTAAAATATATTTTAATATATGCGGGAAATGTATTTTATTTGCAAATAATTATATGCATGGGGAAATAAGTGACAAGAAAATTTTGAGACCAATATTGTAAAGACATTTCTATGAGCATATATAAATCAACTATTAATAGTTAAATAAAAAGGAATATTATTTTAAGCTGAACATAGTGGTGCATACTGTAATCTCAGCTACTTGGGAAGCTGAGGCAGGAGGATTACAAGTTTGAGTTCAGCCTGGGCAACTTAGCAAGACCCTGTCTCAAAATTGAAAATATAATATAAAAGGGGCTGGTGATGTAGCTCAGTGGTAAAACACCCCGTATCCATTCCCAAGTCCCTCTGCTCAAAAAAAAAAAAAAAAAAAAAAAAGCCTTGGGATGTAGTTCAGTAGTAGATTGCTTTCCTAGCATGTGCAAAGACTCTGGGTTCAATTCCCAGTACCAGGAAGACATGTATATATAGATATAGATAGGAAATAAAGATATATATGAAATATAGATATATTTATTTATAAATACATATTTTATGTTATATGTAATGCCACTAATATACATTTATAATAAATATATAATATACAACATAAATATAATAAAAATATGTGTATATATTTTTAAATATATAAACATATTAATGTACATATTATATATAACATATTTAAGGTAAACATGTTTGTAAATATATATTACAAATATATTTAAATGTATTTATGTAAAACATATATAAATTTTAAATATATATAATTTTAAAATCCAGATATATTATCTCTAGGGAAAGTTTTAACTGAGAATTTCCAGCAAATATAAATTATGGTAGACAGAGTACTTCTTTTACATGCTTATATAGATACAGGAGATCTTATAAATTTCTGAAAGACTAATTAACTTCAAGAGGTATCACCTGTTGTTCCTATCACCCCAAGTTTGATCCCCAATCAAAAGAAGGAGATTTCAGGAAAGGTAATCTAGAGACAGACTAGAACTCAACCATCATCAGAGTAATTTTTATGTTTGTTTCTTATGTTTAAAAGTAAATTGGGGCTGGGGATGTGGCTCAAGTGGTAGCTACGCGCTCGCCTGCCATGCGCGCAGCCTGGGCTCGATCCTCAGCACCACATACAAACAGATGTTGTGTCTGCCGAAAAAAAAAATAAATTTAAAATTCTCTCTCTCTCTCTCTCTCTCTCTCTAAAAAAAAAAAAAAAAGTAAATGATACTGGGCTGGGGTTATATCTCAGTAGAAGAGCACTTGCCTAGCATGTGTAAGGCACTGGGTTTGATTCTCAGCACCACATAAAAATAAATAAAATAGAGGTCCATTGTCAACTAAAAAATATTTAAAAAAAAAAAGTAAATGATATGGGCTGGGGATGTTGCCAAATGCTAGAGCTGGAGCACTTGCCTGGCATGTGCAAGATCCTGGGTTTGATCTGCTAAATAAGTAAATAATAATAATAATAAATAATAATATACTTTAATTTTATTTACAAATATATAATTCAAAATATATATTTTTATTTATAGATTCGGGGGCGGAACCAGGGATTGAACTCAGGGGTACTTAACCACTGAGCCACATCCCCAGCCCTATTTTGTATTTTCTTTAGAGACAAAGACTTGCTGAGTTGCTTAGTGCCTTACCATTGCTGAGACTGGCTTTGAATTTGAGATCCTTCTGCCTCAGTCTCCCAAACTGCTGGGATTACAGGTGTACATCACTGTGCCTAGCTAGAACAAATATTTTAATAAAAGACACTGATGGGGATGGGGTTGTGGTTCAGTGGTGGAGTGCTTGCTTAGCACATGTGAGGCACTGGGTTCAATCCTCAGCACCATATAAAAATTAAATAAGTAAAATAAAGGTATTGTGAGGATATAGCTCAGTTGGTGTAGAGTGCTTACCTCATTTGCACAAAACATATGCACAAAGGGTTTAATCCCCTGGGTTCAATACCTAGCACCTCCCCCCCCCCCAAAAAAAAGATATTGTGTCTATCTACATCTAAAAAACTAAAAAAAAATTGTTTTTAAAGATATTAACAGAAAACTCAGCTTTCCTATAGTTACTAATAGTTATTCTCTAGTCGGGTTCATGTATCATGCGTTTATTTTATCTGTTCAATGTACTAACTTGTATTGACCCAGCTCAAACTGTAACCATATTGTAAAGTAAAAGATTATAAGGGGGGCTGGGGATGTGGCTCAAGCGGTAGCACGCTCGCCTGGCATGCGTGCGGCCGGGGTTCGATCCTCAGCACCACATACAAACAAAGATGTTGTGTCCGCCGAAAACTAAAATAAATAAATAAATAAATATTTTTTAAAAAAAAAGATTATAAGGGCTAAATATTGTAATTTATTCTTCAATTATGCCTACATAATTGCTAAATTCCAGCTGCTGAACACTGTTAGCCATTTAAATGAATATAGCGTATTTTTTTTTTACTTATTTCTCCATAATGACAAAACATTCCACTCTACCACCTTTCCAAAACCAGGTGACACAAATTGCTAACCACATAATATTTACCACTGCCTCTGAGAAAAGCAACATTAAATACATTTTTTGACTTTTTTTTTTTTAGATTTTTGAAATGTCCGGGAACTAGGGTTTAATAGAAAGTCACAGTATAGTTATCATTGTTACTGTTGAGTAGATTTTGAAGGTAGGGGTAAAAGGGGAAAGTTACAGTGCTATTTAGGAAGTATCATGGGCCCCCAGCTTTCTTTATCTGCCACAGCTAAATGTCTGCTCTTTCCCTCCAGTCCTCAAATCTGCTGAAGAAGGAAGGCAACCTCTGCAGTTGTATTGAATGAATTTCTAGTCGGTACAGCACAGGATAAGCCTGGGGTAAACTAAGTTTTCATAAATACTGCATCTTAGAGTAGAAAAGGATGCCCTGCCACAAAAAAGCCAGAAATGTTTGGGTCTCTTAGTTTCTAGTTTCTGCTAGGCTTTTCTTCAAATGAATGTTTGCTCTCTTAATTCTCTAGTTAAAATTATCTATAGTTACATATTTCCATTAATTTCCCCAGGTTAGTGAAACTTTACTAAGAAATCCTTTGATGTCACAAGACTATTTTTCTCCTTCAAATGCAGTTGCTGCAGATTTTCAACAAGTACTAGGAAACTATATGGTATGTACTTCAAATTGTACTCCTAAATATTATTACTATTATAGCTAACAAATGAGTTTTAAGATCAGTAAAGAAGAATAAGAATTATATATAATGATAATGAATGATATTATGGTAAAGTTAATAAAGCGAGAAAAAGTATGTATTTATATACTATTATGTATTTACCATGCTTATATGTGAAAGAGGGAATAAATAAAAATATATATTTCCTTACTTACTGTTTAAAAATAAAAGGGAAGGGGAAAGATGTTCCAAACACACTTAAGTGGTTACCCATGTGGCAACGGGGAAAAATAAAGGATTAAAGTGACAAAAGTAGAATCCAGGCCTATGAAACTTGTATTTTAAATCTGACTTTGGTGTCAGGTAAATGTTTGTATAATTATGAAAAACTATTAAGTTAAAATATAAAAAATAACCCTTACTGATAAGAAGTCACAAAAGGACAAATACTCTATACTTCCACTTATTGAAGTACTGAGAGTAGTCAAATTCTTGAGAGAAGGTAGAATGGTGTGCGGGGATGGAAAGAGTGGGAACAGCAGTCAATGTCTGATGTGTATAGAAATTAATTTTGAGAAGATGAAAAGTTCAGCAGATGGATGGTGATGATAGTTGCATAATAATGTAAATGTAGCCGTGCACTGTGGTGCACTCCTGTAATCCCAGTGGCTTTGGAGGCTGAGGCAGGAGGATTGTGAGTTACAAAGCCAGCCTCAGCAAAAGCAAGGTGCTAAGCAATTCAGTGAGACTCTGTCTCTAAATAAAATACAAAATAGGGCTAGGGATGTGGCTCAGTGGTCAAATGCCCCTGAGTTCAATCCCCAGTAATAATAATAATAATAATAAATGTACTAATGCTACATAACTATACACTTAAAAATTGTTAAAATGGTAAATTTCATGTATATATGTGTATGAGTGTATATATATATGTATATATATATATATATTATTGTAAACATTTGTTAATTTTTAAATAATTTTTAAAACTTAAAGCAAAATGAAAAAAACCTGTATGTCGATTAAAGGCTTAAAAGATAGTAAAAATTTATTTCAAATGACTCTAAAACACAGTAATTTGTATATTCCTAATGGAATTATACCTTAATGGAAAAAAAAACCTAAAAATAAATTTACTGGGGCTGGGGTTATGACTCAGTGGTAGAGTGCTTGTCTGGCATGTGTGAGGCTCTATGTTTGATCCTCAGCACCACATATAAATAAATAAAATATAAGATCCATTGACAACTTAAAAAATATTTAAAATACATAAGCAAATTTACTTATTTATTTTCAATAGTCACATTGTTAGTAATAATATTGGCATTGCTATTATGAATTTAGTTTATATAGATATAGATATATTACTTTGAAAATCTGAGTTAAGAATCAAGAATCTCAGAAGGAAGATTTACAAATGTAAAATCAAAGAAGTTAAGTAAAACCTAATCTCAAGTTAAAAAAAAATTGTTTTTTCTTTTTAAGTTCCTTAGCTATACACTGAAAAAGGCTAAAAGCAAAGACTAACCCAATGTTCATGAGCCACCCAAGTGTTTATGTTCTAGTCTGTAAATACCATTTTCCACTAAAAGAAATCAGGATCAATTACAGATATGGGGCAGAAAATTTAAGCCAGAAACATTTTGTCATACCTACCACAAAGACACTCAGGTCAAAAGATAGGAACTAACTTGAAAAGGCTACTTACTGCTAATGATGAAATACTTCAAGCATCAAAAGCAATATTAAATGAGCTGGGCATTGTGGTGCATGCCTCTAATCCCTGTTAATGGGTCCTATGATGAGGCAGGAGATTTGCAAGTTCGAGGCCAGCCTGGGCAAGGTAGCAAGACCCTGTCTCTAAATAGAAAATAAAAAGGATTGGGATGTAGCTTGATGGTACAGTACCCCAGGTTCAATTCCCAGTACCATCAAAGAAGAAAGGAAGAATGGGAGGGAGGGAGGGAGGAAGGAAGGAAAAACCTAAATTCAGTGGATTGTAACACATTGAATATGTTAAATTTCATCAGTTCCTAGATACTATCAAAGGGGGAAAATCCCTCACTAGCATTTTGGAAAATACTCTAAATATACCCCATTACTCCAAAAACATAAAGGAAAGGGTCAAGGACTTATTCTTGCCTGTATGAACTGTTCTTAAAAAAAAAAAAAAAACAACAACAACAAAAAACAGTTGAGGGCTTGGGTTGTGGCTCAGTTGTAGACTGCTTGACTAGCATGTGTCAGGCATTGAGTTTGATCCTCAACATTAAATAAATAAATGGTATTGTGTCTATCTACAACTAAAATAAAATTTAAAAAAAATAAAACAGTTGATGCAGAGAAGTGTTTTTCTTTATGCAAGTATCCCAGCGAGTAAATGATGAAGTGATAAAATATTATTTTGCAATTCCTAATAAAATGATAGACCTAGACAGTATTAATAACCAACCAAAAATCAGTGAAAAGCTTCTGAGGAACTTCATAATGGATGAAAAAGACTCCACATGCCAAATCCACCCACTGTTTTCTAGCCTTAAAATAAGAGATAGTGATGTATTTTCTGATGTCACACAATGATTAGTATATAGCAGGACTGATATTCTCTTACCAAGAAAGACCATGGCAAGCAATTTCAAGGGGAAAAGAAAGGAAAATCCATGGATTAATAGAGACTTTTTTTAAGAGAGAGAGAGAGAGAGAATTTTTTAATATTTATTTTTTAGTTTTCGGTGGACACAACATCTTTGTTTTGTATGTGGTGCTGAGGATCGAACCTGGGCCGCACACATGCCAGGCAAGCGCGCTACCACTTCAGCCACATCCCCAGCCCCTAAAAGAGACTTAAGAGAAATTTCAATCAAATGTACGTTTTGTGCCTTATTCAACAAAAGGACTATAAAAAATGACTTGTTTTTATACATTTACATATGAGCCGGGGGTAGAGCTCAGTGGTAGAGCACTTGCCTACCACATGCAAGGTTCAGTCCCCAGGACCAAAAAAACATTCATATACAAGCTAGATATTTAATGATATTAAGAAACATTTTTAGAAATGATAGTGCTATTTGTGGTTCTGTTTTTAAGAAAAAAAATGAAGCCATATCTTTCAGAAATTTAAATTGAAGCATTTCCAGATTAAAATGGTAGAAAGTCTGAGACTGGCTGTAAAATAATATATTTGGGTAAGGGGTAGCAGTATAGATGAAACAAGATTGACTATGCATAATTGCTGAAGCTAGGTGATGAGTACCTAGGGATTCATTAAACTATTTCCTCCACTTTGATATGTGAATAAAAATATTTTAAGTATACTTCTATTAGTTCCCTATTTGTATATAACAAACTTAGCAGACTAACACAACAGCCATTTATTATCTCAGATTTCCATGGATAAGGAATCCAGGTAGACTTAACTGAGTTCTCTGATGAGGGTCTCACAATACTACAGTCAATGTGTCAGTCTGTGTTCTTATCTGGAAGCTCTGGGGAAGAACTGGCTTCCAAGCTTGCTCAGGTTGTCAAGATCTATGGCCCTATAATGATAGAGATTTCTGCCAGCTGGTGGCTAGAGGATACTTTCATGTCCTAGAGACTGATGGCAGTTTATTCCCATGGCTGCTTTCTCAACATGGCTGCTTGCTTCTTCAAGGCCAGCAGAGGAAGCTCTCACTCCAGTCTAACAAGTTTCATATACGTGACATAATCACAGGGGTGACCTTTATTCCTATTGGTTAGAAGCAAGTCACATTCAAGAATAAGGGATTATATAGGGATGTGACTCATTGGGGATCATCATGCAGTATGTTCAACAGAATGCTAGTCTAAATAACCAAGGTTATATGCTTTCATAATGAAATTCATATATTTTATTTTGAGGAATTCTGCATATTAAACAGAAGCAAAATATATTATTAGCATGGCTGCCTAAAAACTAGCTACCATGTGAAAATGTTAAAAAATTAAACATATTTTAAGCAATTAACACATCTAAATCAAATAAATTTCTATTTTACATTTGTAAAAAAAGTTGGCAAGCTTTAAATTATAGAAATTTTTATGAAACATTAAATTTCTTATAATTAATAAAATGTACACAGGCCCAAAAATGTAGTTTTTAAATTGTGAAAATGTATATAGATGTACCAAGTGTCATTGGATAGATGATGAATACTTTATCTTAACAGAGTTTAGATATTTCTCTTATATTACAATAAACTATTAAAAAAGAAGAGAAAAGGAACTAAAAGAAAACCAAGTATTAGCTATTTGTCTTGATTTGCTTGTATATACAAAGATACTATTTCCAAATAATGTCAAATTCATCAGTATCCACAGTTAGAACTTCAGTGTAGTTTGGGGTGATACATAATTCAATTCAGAACCCTCCCTTTTTTACATCTAAATGGTAAGCCCCTCATAAAACAGCAATCAAAAGACACATGGCTCACTGACCAAGAAGATCAAAGGTGTGTTTAAAGTGGATAAGATCATTTTCCTAGAACAGGGTTTGATTTTGTTTTGTTTATGTTGATTTATTTTTATTTTTGCAGTGCCAGGGATCAAACCTGGCCCTTGGACATGCTAAGCAAGTGCTCTACCACTAAGCTATAGTTTCAGCCCTGAGCAGGGAGTTTGAATATCATTTTCTTTTGCAAAAGTAGTAGCTATTAATAATGTTAGATAACATAAAAGTATGTTAAAGAAATACAAATCTCTATAATCTGAATTAAAACCTCTTAACAATTTGGTACATAATATTCCAGAATATTTTTTGTGTGTGTCTGTAATGTATATAATGTAAGTTTATACATACTTTTGAAATAAAGAAAACTGGGTTTATTCATACAGTGGGTGAAGTTTTGAACTCTGGTACTTCTTGAATCTAAATCTGTTTGTTTGTTTGTTTGTGGTGTTGGGAATCAAACCCAAGGCTTAATACCAAAAATCCTAGCTAATGAAACAAGATGAAGAAAAGGAAATAAAAGGTATACTGTTTGAAAGAAATAAATGAAACTGTCTTTGTAGATGACATGATTGTCAATGTAGGAAATCCAAGAGAATTGGTCAAAAAACTCCTGGAACTAATAAGCAATTATAACAATGTTACAGAATAAAAAAGGCAGTTGTCTTCTGTGTACCAGCAATAAATAAGTGGAATTTAAAGTTAAAAACATAATGCTACTTACATTATCAACCCTCCAAAATGTAATGCTTAGATATAAATCTAGAAATAAAAGTGTAAGATCTATTGAAGAAAAACTACAAAATACTTGTTTTAGTCAACTGTTTTACTGCTGTGACCAAAAGATTTGATAAGAACAATTAGAGGAAAGAAAGTTTATTTGGGGGGGGGGGGGGTGTCACAATTTCAGAGGTATTAGTCCATAGATGGCCAACTCTATTGCTGTGGACACAGGGTGAGGCAGAACATGATGTCAGAAAACTGTGGCAGATCGCAGCTCAAAACATGAAATCAGGAATGAAAGAGAGAAAGAGGGGGGAGGGGAGAGAGAGGAGAGAGCACACCAGCCAGCTTCAATATCCAGGGATAAAATATGTATCCCAAAGGCATGCTCCCAATGACCCACCTCCTCTGGCCACATGCTACCTGCCTACAATTACCACCCAGTTAATTCTTATTAGGGGATTGATGCACCTATTAGGTAAAAAAACTATTCTAACCCAATCATTTCACCTCTAAACTTTCTTACATTGTCTCACACATGAGTTTTTTTGGGTTACCCCATAGCAAAACCATAACAATACCAATGAAAGAAATCAATGAAAAACTAAATAAATGGAAGGATATACCATGTTCATGGATACTGTGACTCAAAATCAATCAAGTTCTTCCCACTTGATCTATAAATGTAGTGCAATCACAATCCCAATCCCAGGAAGATATTGTGTGGGTGTTGAGAAATTGGTTCTAAAATTTGTATCTAAAGGCAAAAGACTGACCCAGAACAGCTTTAATTAAAGAAGGACAAATTTGAAAGGCTAACATTACCTGACTTCAAAATTTACTATAAATCTACAACAATCAAAACAGTATGGCATTGGTGATAGAACAGACAAATAGAACAATGGGACCAAATAGAATGCCCCAAAATAGACCCATATAAATATGGTCAGTGGAACTTTGATAAAAGAGCAAGGGCAATACAGTGGAGAAAAACTACTATCTCAACAAATGGTATTGGAACTACTAGACATCCACATTCCAAATAATGAGTCAAGATAGATCTTATGCCCTTCACTCAAAATGGATCACAGACCTAAACATAAAATACAGAACTATGAAACTCCTAGAGGATACCATAGGAGAAAACCTAGATGGCCTTGGGTATAACAATAACTTAATAAAACACCAAGGCATAATTAATTTTAAAAAAATTATAAGCTGGACTACATTTAAAAAACTTAAAAAATTAAAAGAATCTCTGATATATACTCTCAAGGGAATGAGAGGACAAGCTAGACTAGAAAAAAATATTTGCAAGAGACAAATCTGATAAAGCACTGGTATCTAAAATATATGAAAAACTGTTAAAACTCAACAATAACAACCCAACTAAGAAATGGGTAAGCCAGGTATGGTGGTATATACCTTTAATTCCAGCTGATTCAAAAGATGAGGATTGCAAGTCCAAGGACATCCTGGGCAACTTAGACTAATACAAAATTTAAAAATTTTTAAAAGGACTAAGGATATAGAACATTCCTGGGTTTAATCCATAGAAGAAAGAAAAAGAGGGAGGAAAAAAGAGAAAGAAAAAAAAGATCTCAACAGATATTCACCAAAAAAGATAAAAGATTGTAAAAGGCATAAGAAAAGATACTCAATACCATATATCATTGGGGAACTGTAAATTGAAACAACAATGAAATACCATAACACGACTATTAAAATTGCCAAAATCCAAAACACTGTCAATACCAAATGCTGACTAGGATGTGGAACAACAGTAACTCTTGTCCATTGCTGGTGGGAGTGCAAAAATGGTACAGCTAATTTGGAATACATTAGTTTCTTAAAAAACTAAACATACATCCCAGTGCAGTAGCACACACCTGTATCCAGTGAATTTTGAGGCTGAGGAAAGAGGATCACAACTCAATTCCCACCAATGCCATACTGTTTTGATTGTTGTAGATTTATAGTAAAATTTAAAGTCAGGTAATGTTAGCCTTTCAACTTTGTCCTTCTTTAATTAAAGCTGTCCTGGGTCAGTCTTTTACCTTTACATACAAATAGCTTCAGCAATTTAACAAGGTCCTAAACAACTTAGTGAAACCCTGCCTCAAAAAATAAAATAGGGCTGGGGATATGGTTAAGTGCCCCCTGGGTTCAATCCCCAGTACCAAAAACAAAACAAAAAAACCTAAACATATTCCTTGATATTTGCCCAAATGAATTGAAAACATGTCCACACAAAAACCTACATAGGGATACTTACAACAGCTTTATAATTATCAAAACTTGGAAGCAACCAAGTTTTGGTAGGTGAATGGATAAACAGTGATGCATCCAGGGCTGGGGTTGTGGCTCAGTGGTAGAGCATTTGCCTAGCACATGAGGCCCTGGGTTGGGTTTGATCCTCAGTGCCACACAAAAATAAATAAAAATATGGGACTGGGGATGTGGCTCAAGCGGTAGCACGCTCGCCTGGCATGCGTGCGGCCTGGGTTCGATCCTCAGCACTACATACAAACAAAAATAAATAAAGATATTGTGTTCAACTACAACTAAAAATAAATATTTAAAAAAAATAGTGATGCATCCAAACAGTGGAATATTATTGTTGCTAAAAATAAATGAGCTATACAGCCACGAAAAGACTTGGAGGAAACTTAAATATGTATTAGTAAGTGAAAGAAACCAATCTGAAAAGGCTGCAGACTGTGTTCAAATAATATGAGCTCTGTTACTCAAATTATATGTAGCTCAGTGGTCAAGTGGTGGCCTAGCATGCTTGGGGTCCTAGATTCAATCCCCAGCACTAGAAAGAAAGAAAAAGGAAATGAAGGAGGGGAGGGGGTAAGGATGGAAGGTAGGTAGGTAAGTAGATGGGGGGGTGTGCAGGGGAGGAGAGGGATCAGTTTTTTAGCTGGGTACAGTAATACACACTTATTGCCCCAGTTTCTCAGGAGACCAAACCAAGAGGATTGTTTGAGCTCATGAGTTTGGGAATAGCCTAGATAACATATCAAGACCCTATTTGAAAAACAAAAACTTTTATATGACATTCTTGAGAAAGCAAACTCTGGAGATAACAGAAACATCAGTGGTAGTCAGAGCTATATGAAGAAAAAGGTACAAGGATCTTATAGACAGTGAAACTATTCTGTATGATTCTGTAATAGTGGATACCTGCCATTATACATTTGTTTAAACCCACATGAAGTACAATACCAAGAATTAACCTAATATAAACTAGAACTCTGGGTGGTAATGTGTCAATGTAGGGTTATCAGCTGTAACAAATATACCACTCTGTGTTAAAGTCCATTTTTTGAAAATAAATAATTAAATAAACCCTCTGCTGATTGAATACATTAATGTACTTCCTGAACTTTTTTTTTTTTCTGAGACTAAAAGAAAATTTGAGTTTAGTTGATTCCTTACACAGTGAGATATGCCTTTGACACTTTTGTTTCAATTTGTATAATATAATGGATTTTATTTTTAAAAATAAAATTTGTAGGCTGGGGTTGTGGCTCAGTGGTAGAGCACTTGCCTAGCATGTATGAGACACTGAGTTCAATTCTCAGCACCACATCCAAATAAATAAAGATCCATTGACAACTAAAAAAATAAATAAATTTAAAAAATAAATAAAATTTGTGTTATATTTCACTTCTATATAGATGATATACAATGAAAATCAAGATGACAGCAGAATTCCCACTATCAAGAGTCAAGTCACTGATGTAAAAAATGTTATGATGCAAAGTATTGATATAATTTTGGAAAGAGACGAAAGATTGAGTATCTCCTTCAATAGAACAGATGATCCCCAAACAACTGTAAGTGATTCACATCTGTGTTGATGTTCAAACAGTGCTCCAGGTCATAAGATTGCTGCCTTTAAGACAAATTGCTATGAAATAATCCTGTCACAAATCTGTGGTTTTATACAAAAAATTCTTGGCCAGGGAGTGGGAAGATGTGAAGGGAGGGAGTAAGTGGTAGGAGTGTTATTGGCCAACTCATATAATTATATTGTGTGCATGTACAAATACGTAACAACAAATCCCATCATTATGTACAACTACAATGTACAAATAAAAAATGTAGAAAAAAATTCTTAGAATGCAACTAAAACATTAAAAGATTAATTATAAAACAATTTAAAAATAAAAACCAAATTAATTAGGAGGTGGTTATATCTATAAAAGGATTTTTTACATTATGAAACAGAATAGTCAACAAATTGCAAGGGAAAAAAAGAGGGAGAACTTATAAACAAATGGACTTAATTTATCAATTGAATGTGATTCTTATTTAGATTTCAATTCAAATAAACTGTAAAAATGAAAAATTATAATTTTTTAAAATAATTAGATATTGGAATTCTGGATAGTAGATAACATTCAGGAATTATTAATTTTTAGGCATGATAATGGTATTGTGGCTATGTTTTTTAGAAAGACATTATTTATTAGAGATTTGAACTAAAATGTTTATTATTGAAATTATATGTCCGGATACAATCAATCAACAAGTACATGAAAAAATGCTCACCATCTCTAGCAGTCAGAGAAATGCAAATCAAAACCACCCTAAGATACCATCTCACTCCAGTAAGATTGGCAGCCATTATGAAGTCAAACAACAACAAGTGCTGGCGAGGATGTGGGGAAAAGGGTACACTTGTACATTGCTGGTGGGACTGCAAATTGGTGCAGCCAATTTGGAAAGCAGTATGGAGATTTCTTGGAAAGCTGGGAATGGAACCACCATTTGACCCAGCTATTCCCCTTCTAGGTCTATTCCCTAAAGACCTAAAAAGAGCATGCTACAGGGACACTGCTACATCGATGTTCATAGCAGCACAATTCACAATAGCA